GGACAAGATTATAGTTGAGCACATGAGTAAAGTGTTTCTTTACTCAAAAGTGCTCAAACACATGTCCACTTTCTATTTCTTCGCTGTCATAACTCCTCATTCCCAAGGGAATGAGAGCTGTTTTTAACGTATAATTCAATTATAATTGCAAAATATTATAATTTTAAAAAAGAGTCCCGCCGGTTTTTTGCCGGTTCTGTACTATTATTTATTCTGTACCAGGGCAGAAATGTTTCCAAACCAACGCAGCGGTAAAAGCTGTTGAATGTGTTATGTTGAATAAAAGTTCTTTTATTCTATTGAAATATTTGAATTTATAGATAAATAAGTTCTTTCTGTTGCAAAAACCTACCTACCTACCATTAAAAATTGTACCTCAGAGGATGTTTTCGATGCGGGTCCATTTTCCAAAAAGGCGTTAAATAATATATCAATTTAGCTTAATATAATAAACGCGAAAGGAATTTAAAATTTTGAATGTTCATCATGTTTTACTCTTAATTTTTGAAAAGTTAAAACTTTTCAAAAATTTTAAAAGTTAAAACCGAGACAACATATAACAACGCTTCACACCTTTAGCGCAGCGGCTGCCCATACCGGTCTCGGTAAGTTATGTCTGGCTTAAACGAGATAACGACTCTTCTATACCTAGTTTGACACCTCATTTATTTTATTAAACGGATCTTAAGCTAATTAATTTAAAACATATCTAGTAAGAATATACCGCTTTCTTTTAACCAATGTACCACTAGTTAGATACTTTTGAACACGCCTTCATCTTTATATCTTATATTATTTTATGGATAATAATAATTGCTATTGTTTTCACGCAGGCGCTAGATATTTTCTAACATAAAGAGAACAGGGCAACCATATAGTGGCGGTGTATGAATATCCACTACCTCATATCGTCCCGTGAGTGTTGTAAGAGATGTCTGAGGGAATAAAACCAGGAGATGGACAGCAGTGTTTTCCTAAAAAAACTACGGTTGCAGAGCGTAGCAACTATGGCGAAATCTTCCTTGAGAATTCGCCATAGGGAGGCCTATATTCAGCAGTGGACATTTATAGACTGTAATGGAAAGACTTAAGACCATTGACAATATCAATATTCATGGTTGATTTATATTGTAGGTATTGATAAAGTTGCAGATTATTTTTAGTATTTAAGGTAGGACCGCAATAGGCGGAACTGCACCGCAGCGGAACTTAGCGACACGAGTTGGTCATGGTCAGTCAGTTCTGCTGCAGTGTATTTCCGTTGCCGCTTAGTGCGTGTTGTCTCATATAATTTCATATGAAGAACATTTTGACGTGCGTGTCGCTAAGTTCCGCTGCGGTGCAGTTCCGCTTTGTGCGGTCCTACCTTTAAAGAGTTTGGTCTGCGGTCGTCTTCGACGTCGCCTTCCAGGCGTGATGATTAAAGCAAATTATCCCTATACCAGAAGAAGTCCACGCCCAGTAGTGGACTTTTAAGGCTTGTTGATGATCAAGTGCAAGGAAGAGTGTTGCGCTATATTGTATTTATATAATTATGTACGATGAATAAAAGGATAAACGAAAAACATCAAACGAAATAAAGAAACGGATATGTTACTAAGAAAAGGGGGTTGTTGATTCAAATCGAAAGTGCGAGAACACGGTAAATTTGGTTTTTGGAGGCCCTAGCCTGACCCTTGCTTAAGTAGTAACATTATTTAATCAGTGCCCTGGCTGTGGGTAATGTCTATGGCCTGATGATCGTCGACCCCCAAAGACCGTCACTATGTTGCGCCACACGAATATATCAGCTTCCTACATGTTCGACAACATTCCGGTCTCCATAGTGTGTCTTTGTAGTGCAGCTATATGGTTGCAGTACAAATTGGTCGGCTCGACCGGGGTAGGACCACGCTCTCACAGAATACCAGCGTAAAATAGCTTAATGCTGCTGTGTTTCGTATGGTGAGTGTAGAGAACTGGAGACCCTTTTTACTGGAAATGAGGCATTTCATTTCTGTCCCCAAGGGTGACAATGCATTGATTCTTAATTAAAGGTATATGTCGATGTCTATGGGCCACGGCATACACTTACCATCAGGTGGCCTGTGTGCTTTTTTGTCACTAGTTTTATAAAAAAAAAACTTCTATGTACTGGTATAACTTGGACGACAGTTCATGACGTCGTTTACTCCACTTTTGTGATGATGAAGGGTGAAATCAAATAATTCCTGTAGGACTAGGGCATCATGCCGTTTTTAACATGTTGGAGAGACACACAGATTGGCGTCCGGGATATCATTACTCTAATGTCGAATTTTCTCACGCTTGAGTATGATTCCAACAAAGATGTGTACCTTTCTCAATCTCATTCGTTGTACCTGGCCAATAGAAATTGCTGCTGCTGTTTACCCTTTAACGTAATCCACAACCATATGAACCGCACACCAACGAAAGTACCTACCTTATTAGTTCTAAAAAATTTTATCTGTCACGAAATCCACTCGCTATTCTGCTTCCCCAATCAGACGATTTTTTATACATATAGCAGTATAGAACAGAAGCAAGTGGTAAAATTAAACATTTTGAGCTACCGAATTCAATATAAATAAAATGGGAACATCATCAATGTAGTCGAAGTGAATAAAACACAAATTGTTAAGGATGACTCAAAACTACTGGTCTGATTTAGAACGAATTCATACGGGACCACACGTTAAGTTCCAGCTTTCAAATAAAAAAGAATCATCAAAATCGGTTCACCTAGAAAAAAGTTCTGAGGTAACACACGTAAATAAACATACAGTCGAATTGATTACCTCCTCCTATTCGAAGTCGGTTGAAAAGTTATATGAATTGCCAATTGGACAACGTGGTCTAAAAAGTAACTTGTCTTTTCAATTACTTTTTAGCACGCATTGCCAGCAAATGTTACTATAATATTATTTTATACTATTTTAATGTAAAGTAAAAAGTAAAGTTACAGCCTATATACGTCCCACTGCTGGGCACAGGCCTCCCCTCATTTCTGAGAGGGTTTTTAGGGCGAGGAAGTATCCGCCGCGCTGCCCCAATGCGTGTTGGCGAACTTCACATGTCTTAGAAATATTTTTTTTCTTATTCCTCAGACATGCAGGTTTCCTCACGACGTTTTCCTTCACCGCCGAGCACGTGGTAAATCAGCACTTAAAATTACAATTAATAATTTCATTGATGCCGGCGGGGATCGAACCTCGCGTACTGTGAAATTTACAGCGAGCGCTAACCATCTGAGCTACCACGGCTCGTTATTTTAATGTAAACTACAAATATAGGAAGGATTGCTGGAAGCGTGTCAGTTGTAAGGTCTTGATTTTTAATGTTTATATCTTAATATTTTGTCATAAATGAGAACTTTTGGTGTGTGAGGGCCGCAAGTAGTCGCACGTCGCCCAAATCTGACGTCCGCTTTTTGTAAGAATGAATTGAGGTTAAGAAATAAGACGGTGTGAGTGATATGTATGTAAGAAGTTGCCATATTATAAATGGGAAAGTTGTAAGGAGGGCTGGACTTTAACTCTCGTCCATAATAGTAATGATTGGTCACAACGCCACGCTAGAAGTTTTGCAATTTCTCTATCGCTCCCGATCGCCCAGGTAGGTTTTACATCTGGTATTCATTGATTAATTCATTACAGCGCTCCACGAGTCCACTGCTAAATGATGATCTTCGTCAAGGGTTGTGATTTATATACTATACAAGGAATAGCACATGATCCAGAGTCATCTGCACCCATGGATTTTCAGCATCTTTTACCAGGTTGTCACTCTGGTAATCGTCCTACTATACTTACCGGTACGTACCACTCCAGAACCTTTCCACATCTCCTTTACATTTGGTATACGAGATTGTTATATCGCCATCTGCTTGGGGCTATCTTCCTGATATTTTCCATAGCCAAAATCGCTTCTTACAATACCCAGAGATGAAATAGAGGTGATAAGCACTCTTACACTGCCTACTACTGCATAATTTTTTGAATATCAAGGATGTAATAAAACTATTACTAGATGGTAGAACTGTTTGTATACCTAGGAGTTAGTCTGGTTACGTACTTTTACCGGGAAATAGCGGAGTACTACGGTATCTCCGGTCTGTAGGGTTTGGAGTAGGGATTCCCAAACTATTTTGGTCAAGTGATCACTATTCCAAAATGAACTGATACCTCAGACCCCCATAACCAAATTATTTTAAAAATCCCATCTCCAATCCATCCTCATCTCTTTTTTCCTCTTGATACAAAATACTTACCAATAAAAAAAACAATCTGTTGGTTAAAGGAATAAACCTGACATCATTTTCTCCTCAAAATTTACCAAAATAAATAGACATAAAATTCAGTAAGTATCAAATGTAGTTAAGAATTATTAATAAAAATTACGTAAAAATACTTGAGTAGGTAATTATTTTTTAAGAAAAATATTAAAATAGCAAAAAAAATTTGTTAGAGTGATTGATGAATCTGGTGACTTTCTAGCAATCTAGCTAAATCTAGTTCAGCTGGACCCCTAAAATCAGTGTTCGTTTATGTCGATCTCTAGGAAACCGATTTCGAAACTAAGGGGTCGATATTGAGCACTTTGGGAATCGCTGGTTTAGAGAGTCGTAATAATGACAGGTTATGAAGCTTTATATCTTATTCCTCAGTGTTAACTACGCATATGTAGCTTTGTTTGAAGTTGGTTGCAGCTGTCTAAAGGCTGCGCTGTATTGTAATTTGTAACTTTATTTGTCACTTTTGGTTTATAAAAAAAAATACAACTTTAAACCTAAAATATATGAATCATGATTCTCTGCTGCCAGTAACATTTTAATAGCCGTAACATCTATTATAACACAATCTATGATAAACATTTACAACCATTTATTTGTCAAGAGTATTTTATTATTTATAAAACTGTACACGCGGCGGTGTGTTAAATAAAGATGATATATTTATTTACAAACAAATTGTTTACAAAAGATATATTTTACAATTTACCGGATTCAATAAGTTCTCTTAGTTTATACTTTTGTATTTTTCCTGAGGCGGTCTTGGGGAACTCGTCGGTGATTTTCAACAGTCTTGGTATCTTGAACTTGGCGAGGTGCCCATTGCAATGACTACGCACATCATTGATGGATATAGATGCACCGTCGCGTAGCCTCAATACGGCACATAGCTCTTCCCCCAACCTCTCATCCGCGACTCCAACAACCTGTTAAAAGTAAAGGTACTTTTTTTCAGAGTAACCTATTATTTATTCTGTGGACTAACTAAAAAAGAATATCCGGCCAAGTGCGAGTCGAACATGAAGGGTTTCATACCATTGTAAAACTCGTTTCTAGTATGAGAGCCCCCTTTAATTGTTTAATTTATTCTTATTTTTATTATTTTTTGTTATAGCGGCAACAGAAATACACATTTTGTGAAAATTTCAACTGTCTACCTATTATGGATCATGAGACACACCCCGCCGACAGACGGACGGACGGACGGACGGACGTGGATATGGTCTCGTTGGTTACCCTTCAGGTACGGAACCATAGGAAAAGAGCACTACAAACATTTCAAGTGACTCAATAACTAAGCCAAAACCATGGTCAACTTATGGTAAGGTCGAAATGGTTTAGGTGTATATGTGTGCGTCCAGCTATGAATTTTACCGGCTGATAAAGAAAGAAAGATGTGTGTGTGAGTCATTTAACCCGAATCGCATCAAAGTATTGATGATTACAATTACATTTGAACGTTCCGGATCAAACGATTGACAGGATCTACGACCAAAGAGCGTAGTAATGTCTGACGGCCGATATTATCGAGCGGGTCTCGCAAACCACAGAGTAGTGAAACTTGAAATTATCCATTTGAATGATGGACCCGAATGACCCGGTTCGTAAGACGAATCAATGCTTGAATGAACGGGTTACTTCAGGACCACTTGAAACGTACTCGGCGCATATTCATCTTAATTTTTTGGAGCAGCTAGGGACAGGCTTCCCCTCATTTCTTAAACGGCTATGGAGGAATCAATCTGCCGCTATGCTCCAGTGTGTTGGTAGAGTTCACATATCCTCAAATATAGACATGTAGTTTTCCTTACCATGTTTTCTTTCAATGTACGTGTAAACAAGCGCTTATGTTAGCAATTAACAATTTCATAGGTGGCGGCGAGGATATACTATAAAAGTCCACTGCTGAAGGAAAATATTGCTTGGATTCTTGGCATTGCTCTATATCCACTTGTGAAGTTTCATAATAATAATTGGTTTAGCCGATGTGATTCAAAACCTATTCAGATGGAAGTACGAACCTCGGCTTGAACTATTTTTTCCATTTTTCTCTGCGAAAACCACGCGCTTGTGTGCGTGCGTTGCGAACGCCTGTAGCAAACTTCAGCACTCTCGTTAATTTTGGAATTACAGTAGGCGCTCGATAATCCGGCGCTCGCCAATCCAGCGCGCTCAGTAGTTTGGGACTCAGGTAGCCTGCTTTATAATCCAGCATTTTACACAGCTGAACGGCGGACTACTGAGCGGTGGGGTTGAATTGTTCGAGCAGTTTCTCTCATCTCTCGCTCGGCTGTTCATAAACACAAATACGTATGTATTTGTGTTTATGTTAAGTACGTAATTTTATTTTTATAATAAATTCACCTAACCATATTAAAATAGTATTTTACTGTGGATCTATTTTACTTCCTATACAAATTCGATAATCCGGCAGTTCCGACAATCTGGCGTAAAGGGAAAAAATCGGGTGCCGGATTATCGAGCGCCTACTGTATAATATAATAGTTTGATAATATTTAAATTCGTATACAATTAATTATCTTCACTAATATAGCAACTTAAGCATAGTTTCTATTGTAACAGAAATCTATTAGTACCTACCTGGCTCTCAATAATGTCGGGGTGCGTGTTCAGTAGATCCTCGATTTCCTTTGGCGCGATGTTTTCACCTCCTCTCACTATGATGTCCTTTAATCTACCGACGACACGCCCGTAGCCGTCAGGGGCCACTGTGAATTCGTCCCTGGAAAAATACTTAAAATCTATATACATCCCCTGCTAGGCACAGACCTCCTCTCATTGCTGAGAGGGTTATAGAACAATAAGTAAGCAGTCGGAAGGTTTAATTTGGTTTAGTTTACTCTGTAACTCCACGCCCAACCTATGGTAAATAAATGATTGTTAAAAAATAATGCCCTGTAATAATACTTGTTGACTTCCTGATCTGTGGCTTGCTCAATCTCATTAAGACCTTTGTTAAACGACTTTTTATTGCTGGCAAGGCCTTCCTACCTTGCCTAAAGTCTTCTAGATATTATTAATGAGAAGGACAATGCGTGTTAAATGCTGCAGTGTATCATGTCTGTTTTACTTATAGGTCGGATTGACCAGAAAAGTACCACGCTCGCGCAGATTACCAGCATCAAATAGCAACATAATGCTGCTGTTTTGCATATGGTGAGTGTAGAGAACCGAAGTCCTTGTTGGTCTGTCTGTTGGAACGGTCTTGTTCCTCAAGGATGAAAATATATCCGCATTTAGGTTCTTAGTCGAAGATGTGTGTAGATGTCACTTTGGGGTATTATAAAAAGTACTTTTGTCATTCTTATTCTATAAAAAAACACATACATACAAGTAAATCGAAACATGTTAAACAATAAAGATATGTAAAGTTACACTAGAAGGAAATGTTAGTCCATGATTCAGATTCAAAAGATATGATAATTCACAAGCCTACATCAACTTACCCAGTTTTTAACCATCCGTCTTTGGATAAGATGCTTCTAGTTTTTTCTGGTTCGCCCCAATAACAGATCATATTGTTGTATCCTCGCGTGGCCAGTTCACCCGGGCTGCCAAACGGAACTGGATCGCCATTTTCATCAATTACCTTTAATGTACGGATAAAATTGTTTAAATGATAATATACGATACTTTATGTATATTTTAATAATCTTATCTATACTTCTATACTTATATACAAAATTGAAGGGTTTGACTCTAATATCGAAATTTCAGCTTATTAATGAGCTAAATAAGGGGGATACCCTTATTTTATTTATATTTTAAAAATAGTGTACATGCCGGTTTACAGTATGCTCAAAACGTCAGCATACTAATTTACAAATTACAGTTTTAAATAATCCTATACCTTTAAACGAGCAATTCTTATATATATATATATAATCGGAATCTCGGAAACGGCTCCAACGATTTTCATAAAATTCTGTGTGTAGGGAGTTTCGAGGGCAATAAATCGATCTAGCTAGGATATATTTTTAGAAAATGTCTTTTTGTCCGTGTTTTTAGGTAATGAAAAACTGCTACAATATCGTTAGAATAAGAAGGTAAATTTTGACAGTTTGTTAATAATTGGATACAAATAGCATAATTGGTATATTGGGCGGTCACAAAATTGTAATACCACGGTTCGAGCCTAGACCGACCGACCGACTTTTTTTAATTTTTTTCAAGTTCCTTTCTTTTTTGAGAAAATCTATTTTTTCGAGCCCTTTTTTTAGTATTTTTTAAAACATATTTTTAAATTAAACTAATTGCACTCATGATTTTTTATTCAAATAACCAGTTTAGTTTTTTCTATTATGCCGCTACGATCAAAAAATATTATTCGTATTTCATCAGTATGTAATTTGTATCTAAATATAATTTCCAAAACACACGAATTAAAAAAAAAACCGAGCGAAAAATACAGAGCAAAGCTCGGTCAACCGGGTACTAATAATAATACAAGACTCATGTCAAAAAGGTCAACTAAATTAAAGAATACATGTCCAGAAGATCAAATTAAAAAAAAATGCCAAATAGATTAGAAGTCGAATAGATTAAACAAAATATCATTGTCAAATTGATTAGGTTCATAATATTAAAAGAATAATATATTACAATATGTCAAAATTGGATGTCAAAAATAGAAGGGCTTTGTTACATAGTTGCCCTAAGCTATCAGCAAATATGTCAATCTCGTAGTCATGTGCGAGCATATCTCCAATAAGCCGTATAGCGCGAGAAGTGGGCGCGTGAGCGCCGCTCCTGGTGCATGTAAGTAAGACATAAATAACAATTTAAAAAAATTTGTCTGTCTGTCGAGCTTATCCTCGGAATACCTGAACTGATTGCCAAAAAACTTAACATACAGATGGATAACAATTCCAGGAGTGATCTACGCCATAGTTTATGTAGGAAACCTTAGTATTAAAAAAAAAAGAAAAACTGATAACATGAATAATCTTTGAAGATCTTAAACCTAAATAACGCCACATTAATAGATAACAGTAAATAATATCCGGGAGAAGCCGAAATTAACTACCCCACTAAGATTATCTAATGGAAACGTTCACACAGTCCACCTGATGGTAAGTGGATGCTGCGGCCCATAGACATCTACATTTAACCTCGATTAAGGATCAAAATGCAGATGCGTCGTCACTCCTGACGACTAAGATGGAATACCTCGTTTCAAATAAAAGAGGGTCTCCGGATCTCTACACTCACCATATAAAAAACACAGCAGTATTATGCTACTATTTTACGCTGGTATTCTGTGAGAGCGTGGTCCTCCCCGGTCGAGCCGACACATTCGTGCTACAACCATAATATAGCTGCAGCGTGGCTCTACCACGTGTCTATACGTATATCTAAACAGTGACATAAGGAAAACGCGGTAATCTGAAATAATTCCAATGTCTTCTCTAGCGGAACAGTCGTAAGCTGACGGGCGACTCTGCTATACCATGTGGTCATGGAAAGAAAAGAGGAGATCTCCCGCCGGACAAGAACACCTTGCCCGGTGAGCGGCCAACGCTCCGAGTGGTGAGTGGTTTTTTGCGCCCAGAAGCAAAAGTAGTTTTTTTTTCGGGGGAGGGAGGTGGTGAATGCTCTAAGCATATCACGCAGCCGGCTGCGTGGTTATGTGCAACTTAATGAGAAACCTCAGTGAGTCCCACGTAACCACATGAGACTGATTTTAACCTGGTAAGGTCTTGTTGCCGTATCGGAAGCGACCCCCCTTGATGAAAGGGGGCCCGCAGGCAGCGAGTAACCGCTGAGAAGTATTCCGAACTAAGGTAGATTATGAGATGAGATGGGAAGACTCGGCCTGAGCCGCTGATATGCAATTCATGTCGGCTTAAAAGCTTGCTGGGAGGTCCGAGAGCGAGTTTCTCGGCCTGCGAACTTGGAATAGTGATTCGGAGCTATTTTATATATACTGTTTTTCTTCGGAACTTTGATAGCGCGATTTAGGCTTATTAGATATAATATCAGATACAATATTAACCTGACTGCCCCGTTGGTCTAGTGTTTGTAAATGCGGTTGCTGATCATGAGGTTTGAATGCCGGGCCTGGCTAAAATCTGTTATTGGGTTTTTTGTCAAGAAATTCTGAGTAGCAGCCCGCAGTCAAGAAGTGGGTGATGTTTCACCCCCGTGTCTCTGAAAGTACGTAAAGATGGTCCTGCGCGTGATCTTTCTCCGGTAGTGTCGGTAATCGTCCAATCGGATTATGAGAGTGAGAGAATAGAGAAAGTACTTGTGCGTGCATTCGGGCACTTTAATGTTGCCCTGCGCAGATGTCTGGTCTCCGTTGGGACTTGTCGCTGTGACCAAAATTCGGTCTGAAGGACATTATTATTACTAACCTTAACTTCCACGTGATCTTGAATGTAACCGACGGTGTCAGCAACGGTGTCGATGCTGTCACCTGGCATTGATTGGAAGACACTAGCTGTTGTTTCTGTCATACCGTACAAAGCCTGAAAAATGTTTATTTAGCTTTTTATCCGACTTAAAAAAGGAGGTCTCAATTCGACTGAACGTTCTTATTTGTTGTATGCGAATACTGGATGATTATTTTTACCGTCTGGAAAAAAATAGGGTGTAACAGGTGAACAGGATATAAGCCTATGGAAGGCACTGATATTGTACCATTTTTTTGATTTTACGTTAGCACATTATGGAATTAAACTATCAATAAATACCACTAATTTGAAATAAACTTAAAAAAAGTAAAACAAATATTATGAACTAAATAAATAATTCAATTAAAACTATATATAGATCAATTTCATAATACGTTAATGTAAAAATGTAAAATATTAGTGCCACAGGCTTCTATTCCGTTCTCATGTTACAACCTATTTTTTTCCAGACGGTATAAAAAATCAGCCTGTATGTATGATAATTTAATCTGCGGTTGCCAATCTGTCCTAAAATTGTTGCAACTATAAAAAATATCCTCTCATAGCGGACGCTTATATTCAAAAGCAAACATTTTACAGGCTGTCTTCTTTTCTTAAAAAACGTAACGCCCTCCCCCCTCACACTAGCATTTTCTCATGTATCGTGGCGGCAGTTTACGTACATAAATTTCATAAGGACAAACATTCAGACCCGGAACAATTACGTGTAAGTAATACATATACATGTAGTAGCATGTATTAATAGCCCAGAGGCTAAGTACTCGCTGTAAATTTCACACTACTCGAGTAATTCGGGTTCGATTTCCGAGGGCTCCAATGGAATGTTAATTTCAATTTTAAGTGCTGATTTACCACTTGCTCTGCGATTTAGGAAAACATCGTCCACATGTGATATTCGATGACATGACATTCTATTGCCCTAAAACCCTTTCAGAAATGAGAGGAGTCCTGTGCCCAGCAGTGGGACGTATACAGGCTGTAACTCTACTTACTTTACTTTTTATACATGTACATGTTCCGTACTGGATTCGAACCCGTCCCCTTCAGCGCAGCATCTTAATGCTAAGCCACTATGCGACGCAGTCGACAAATGAATGAAAAAACTATTGTTGCTTACCAACACAGAGTGTGCCTTCAGGTAAGTTTGCATCAGTCGGATCAGCTGCGGACTGCAGGGCGCGCCGGCCGCCAGCGCCATCCTGAGGTTCAACGGCAGGTCGCCTTTGTCTCGGATCTGCGTTATTATGTCCACGTACATCGTCGGGGTGCCGGTCACTGCTGTGCATCTGTGATTATAACGTGTAACATTATATTAATGTATATATACCAGCGTAAAATAGCAGCTTCATGCTGCTGTGTTACGTATGGTGAGTGTAGAGAACCGGAGACCATTTTTACTGGAAACGAGGCATTTCATCGCAGTCCTCAGGGTTGACAACGTATCTGCATTTAGATTTTTTATCGAAGATAAACGTAGATATCTATAGGCCACAGCATGCACTTAACGTAAGGTGCACTGTGTGCTCGTTTGTTTAATTTATTTAAAAAAAATCATCAATCACTCACATTACTTTGAGCCTATTTTTTGTCAAAAATTGAGACTCTCAATTTAATGCGGTGAGAAAATAAATGATTATTATTTTTATTATTATAAGTATATCACATTTTAATCTAAAAGGACAACCAGAGTAGTTGTTTTTAAATATTACAGAATGACTGAACAAAATCGCACAACTAAACGTCACTGATTGACTGTTAAGTTGAGCATTTGCGCGTCACAATACATTGAGCTGTCGATGGAAAGTGTTGTGGTGGTATGACTGATTAATTAAAAAGCAATCAATGTTGTTTTGTTTTATCGAGCAACGATCGATTTGATGATATGTGGACCACCATCCCCGTAGATTTTTGACATACAACCTTTTTTAAGAATTAGAATGACAAACGATCCTACAGTCCACCGGATGGTGACTGGATGTTGTGGCCCACAGACACCAACATTTATCCATGATTAACATCGAGAGCGTGGTCCTTCCCCGGTCGAATCGATCTATCATGTTACAACCATAATATAGCTACAGCGTGGCTGTACCACGTATAAACTAAATAGTAGTTCGATTAAAAAATATCGTTACTTAGAATTCAAGTAATTATATTTCTTAACTCACTTCTCAGAAAGCATAGCGCTGATGTTAGCAGGTATATCGTATGTTGGAGCTGCAAGGACCAGAGTGGCACCGTGTCTCAAGGCGCTCAACAGTGTTACTACAGATCCTAGTGCATGGAACAGCGGTACCTGATAACAAGTATTAGTTAGTAAGATTATTTATACTTAAAAACGTAAGTAAATTAGCAAGAGTCAAAATTCTCCTATGGGTTCATTGGACAGTGTTTTTTTTATGAAATAAAGGTGATAAAAGAGTACACATTCCACCTGATGGTAAGTGGATGTTGTGGCCCATAGACATCTACATTTATCCTTGATTATGATTCTTAATGATGATGTGCAGATGCGTTGTCATACCGAGGACTAAGATGGAATGCCTCGTTTCCAGTAAAAAAAGGTCTCCAGATCTCTACACTCACCATACGAAACACGGCAGTATTCAGCTGCTATTTTACGCTGGTATTCTGTGAGAGTGTGGTCCTTCCCCGGTTGAACCGACCTTTCGTGCTACAACTATACTATAGCCGCAGCGTGCCTCTACCACGTATAAAATCTACTATACGTCTGGAATATCTATATACGGTGGAATTTTTGCTTGGCAGATTGGAGTCCACAAAACTAGACAACTGCGACTCTTGACACTGCTTTCCGTTTCTTGTAAAATTGGGGATCATAGAACTAGACGTCTGGCACTTTGATGACGCTTCTTGTTGCCCTTCTGAGGATTTTTGTCTAGTGGTACGAGATATTTATTCTGACAACCATTAGGATTATATGGGCTGATAGATTTTTCTACCAGAAAACCTAGGTGTAAGAGTCCTAATACTACGTATTAGTTATATACCTATATATAATTATAAGTTAAAAAAATAGTCACCTCCCGTGTTTTTATTACTTTCAGCTCTTTCAGAAAAAGTAGCAGCGTCTATCGATCCATTCACAATGCCTTGAAGACTCGACTATAAGTCAAGTCTTCAAGACATTTTAATCGGAAGGAACTGGCACCCATTCAAGTCAAGTAATCAGGCAACTGTAAATAGTGCGCTTTACCATCTTCTGCTGTATTTCAACTTACCATCAGGTGTTACAAACATTTTGCATTGGCTTGTACAATAGAAGAAAAAAAACCTGAACACAAATCTTCTGATGTCCTTGGTGGAATCCATTTCTTTTGCCCACGAAATATGTGTTGTTTACAACTCCTAGATGAGAGTCTAAAGCTGCTTTAGGGTCCCCTACAAAAGGAAAAATATGTTACTTCTTCTTTTCTTTATCAATCTGTAAAAGTCCACAGCTGGGCGTAGGCAACTCCCACTGTGGGAAAAATTTGCCTTAATTAAAAGACTTGGTAGGTGGATTGCCGATCGCAGATCAAGACGTCTCGCACCTTTCATTCTGCTTCCAATTGTCGGTCTTGATGTTTGTAGTTTGGCGTACACGAGGTGGTTATACCGACATCTATTGAAAGCCATGAGATTATTCTAACATATCCCATATTCACCTCTAATAACACCTACGGAACGAAATAAAGCGATGGTTTCTATTACGCCACCATCAAACGACAATGCTGCACTTTTTTTTTATAGAATAACAGTGACATACGAGGATACAGTGCACCTCATGGTAAGTGCATGATGTAGCCCACAGACATCTACATTTATCCTCGATTGAGAATCAAAATGCAAATGCGTTGTCACACCTGAGAACTATGATGGAATTCCTCGTGTCCAGTTAAAAGGGTCTCCGTTTCTCTAAACTCATCATACGAAACACAGCTAAAGCTGATATTATACGCTGGTATTCCGTGAGAACGTGATTCTACCCCGGTTGAGCTGACTGACACATTTGTGCTACAACCATAATATTGCTGCAGCGTGGCTTACCACGTCGACATATAATAGCTACATTTAAATACAAGGTGCGGTATCCATACATCCATACAAATGGATGTTCATACATTTCAACTCCCTGATAGTTGACCAATTACGCATATTTTATTAACCAAAAAAGTACATTTCACCAGTGGGCCTAAAAACTAATTATAGATATGTTGATTAAAACTACTTTTACGGATTTTATCGCGTTTATTTTTTTTTTTCTTACTTTTTATTTTTATTTTTAATTCCCGACGTTTCGGGCGCTTTCCAGCACCCATGGTCACGGGGGACTGAGATGACTGACGTCCCGATGTCATTGTTAAACCCGGAGTACCTTCAGCTTTTTTAATTATTGTTTATGGTCCGATCTATGCAAAATGAACTGACTATGTCCTGAGGTCTTGCAGTGGTATGCTTGGGTTTAGTTTTAATTTTATTGATTATAGGATCCCAAGCAGGTGGTAGTACCCAGCCTCCTTCTCTATTGAAATTAGGATGTTTTTTAATTTCAATAGCCTCACGTATCATCCTTGGTAGGAATCGGTGTTCTTTCGCGAGGATTTGTGGTCTATCAAATCTGATGTAATGGTCGGGAATTAAAAATAAAAATAAAAAGTAAGAAAAAATAAACGCGATAAAATCCGTAAAAGTAGTTTTAATCATGTGCAATGTTCGCGTAAATATAAGAAATCATTATAGATATGTTGGTTGTATTTTATAGTAGTATAATTAATAATATGATAAATTAAAGAACAGATTATACCAATTACGATAATTTGCATTTAAAATATTTAAAGAAAAGTGATTACCATAAAATCAATATATTATATGTAATTATTTCTTCAATAACATGTACCAACCTGTACATCGTAATATATAATAGCTACTACAACTACTAATTAAATATCATGAAAAACACTAACAAATGCTAATAGATATCTTACAGAAGCCAAAATGCTTGATAAAATACGATAATCGAAACGGTACTAACTTTACTCAACTTCATCATCATCATCATCATTACAGCCCTTCATAAGTCCACTGCTGAACATAGGCCTCCCCCAAGGTATGCCGCAAAGCACGGCCCTGAGCCACCTGCATCCATCGACTTCCTGCATGTCTTACCAGGTCGTCACTCCATCTAGTGGGGGGTCGCCCTAGCCTACCTAACTAAATATCATGAAAAACACTAATAAATGCTAATAGATATCTTACAGAACCCAAATGCTTGATAAAATAATATAATCCGATAATCGAAACGGTACTAACTTTACTCAACTTCATCATCATCAGTATCATTACAGCCCTTCACAAGTCCACTGCTGAACATAGGCCTCCCCCAAGGTATGCCGCAAAGCACGGCCCTGAGCCACCTGCATCCATCGACTTCCTGCATGTCTTACCAGGTCGTCACTCCATCTAGTGGGGGGTCGCCCTACACTTTGCCTACCGGTACGAGACTGGCACTCGAGAACGCTTTTTCCCCAATGGTTGTCGGTTCTTCGAGCTATATGGCCGGCCCATTGCCACTTCAGCTTACTAATCCGTTGGGCTATGTCGGTCACTCTGGTTCTACTGCGGATATCCTCATTTCTAAGTTTATCACGCAGAGAAACTCCGAGCATAGCCCTCTCCATACTGCAGCAGCAGCATCTTATTAATAGCGACTAAAAATGTATAACTGCGTTTGACAACTCGCTTGCCAAATTTGGCAACTATGACATATAGTAATATGAGACGATCTATGTAAGAGACCTATGTCCAGCTGTGGACTTTAAAAGGCTGCCACGGTAACGGATATAAACAGTATTTCGTGCGGGATTCAAACCCGCGGCCTCGCAGCTCTGAAGCCAACCCTTAGCCTTATTCTACTGAACCGTACTTCGGTAACTAATAATTAAATAAGGACATATTCGATAGTTGTTGCGTAAAACTTCTATTTTCATAATATTTCCATTATTCATAAAAACGTGCATTGTATTTAAATTAGGTCGCCCTAGTTTAACGAATTTAAAATTATCGGGTGATTCCTACACTAAGTGCCAAGCTGAAGGTTAAGTTATTAGTGTTTTAATAAATAGTGTTTTTTTAACTGTGACGACACAGGAAACTTTGTAACCCAAGCCAGCGGGTGATATTCCATTACAACAACAGAAATCTAAATAATAAGGCACTAGAAATGCCTTCCACTGTCTTTTAATATCGGGACGCGTGTCGCCGGTTCGCAGCTACCTCACATAGACAAACAATAAATACACAATTATGCATACACGTATCTCTAGCATTCATGCAACAAAGATTAAACTACAAAACTATTGCGTTAAGGAATATTTTATAAAAACGTAAAATCGCAGGAGGCGTAGCCACTCGGTCCAATAATTAACGTGTGCGAAAAACAGAGAATGCCATAAACGGGTAATATACCCCTGAAACTTGTAATATTATGCCAATTTTATACATAATAAACATAACAATCGTACAGACAAATACAGGTTTCAATTTTCCCCATTTATGTTGTAAGATAGCACGGTTATCACCCCTTTCCTACCTCCCCATCAGCGCAAGCGCTCTACTGCGATCGCCAATATGCGCGCCGAGTGTGGTGATGATGGCGAACCCTTTTGTACAATCTGAGAGGCCCATATCTATCAGTGGAGTGTCACAAACTGACAGTCCGATGAAGAAGAAAATATTGAATCTAGTTATTATATATTAAGCCTTTAGTAATACGTCTGCAACCCACCCGTTGTCCCCGATGTAAAGTGAACGATGCTGCCGTCATCTGGTTTTATTTCACTGCCGTACTTTGATATTTCCGGTTTATTTTTATAGTTATCGATGAGAGAATTAAGCTGGTATACACCGCTGAAAAGTACAAGATCGATCATCGCGTCAAAATTTTCAGAGTAATTGGTAGGAAGTGGTTAAATACTTTATTTATTTGATTATAGCTATGTAAATATTATATAATATTGTATAAGTGCTATTTATAAACATTATAACTTACTTTGGTTATAATAATATTATAATAAAATATAGACATATTTATAAAAAATATTTTTTTTTAATTTTAGAAAATGTTTAATTGCACCCGTCCCAATGGGTGTTATTGATAATAAGTTAGACTCCGCACCTCCGCAGTGTGGATTGCCTCAAGTTGAAAGGTTTTTTTATGTTATAAAATCATAATCCGAATTATTACCAAATACTTTTAGATCTCTATTAAAATTATACGTTTAAAAATGTAGCTTAGCTTGCATAATAAACAGAAAAATAAAAAAAAAACGGTAAAAGGTAAGGAGAATTTTTTCTCGTTCAGTATGGAGGTCTCCTAATGTCCTGCCTGAGTTAAATAAAAATACAAATATCGACAAGGATTGATCGTACTTAGTTTTAAAAGGTAGGATCATTCTTTCACTATTCCTTCATAAATAACAATTGTAAAATTACAGCCTAACGTTGATTGTCGTCTTCATGTGCCTTAAGGCACATGCAGGTTTCGGGCCTCGGGGTAAGCCCCCATTACCCGTGTTATCCTCGCGGTCCACCACTATGGACCGGTCCTGGGAGCCTTCTATTGGCGTTGTAGGTGTCTAGTACGATTTATGTCGTAATCGGTAGATTTTTTCATAGTCGGTTAGACTACGAAAAAGAGAGGTTATCTGGTAGAAGTCGAAGTTGGCCTATCAGCGGCATTGTGGGTTGTTACTCGACTCTCTAATCGATATAGAGAGGAGTTCTCTTGGATAGGGTCGCCCGTCCGGAGGGCGAGTGTGTAGCGGCGCAAAGTTGTTAAGATGTATGTGTGGCCCGTTGTCTGCACGGTCGAACAGTCCGCGCGCCAGCCGGGCCACAAACTCCTGGATGGTAGCAATTTTCAGGTTGGCCGCTATGACGTCATTGCAGCCTAACGCTGCTATGCTCGGTGAGTGTAGAGAAGTGGAGAGACCGCGTAGAGAACTCCGGGATGATGAACGCATCTGCATTTTGATACTTCATCGATGATAGATGTAGTTGAACTAGAGCTTTCAATTCAGTTCACTTTTCACTTTCACTTGCGATTAGGTGGACTGTGTGCTAGTTTGACAATCTCATTTGTATAACAAAATATGACATGCGAGATGGGTATATCGCCATCTACCGGAGATCATTTGATCCCTACTGCATATCCCATGTCGCCCATTATGACACCATTGGAAGAAATGGCGTGGATACTCTTACACCACTGACATCCCGTCACTGTTAATAAGTTAATCTAATAGATCATTATCATTTTTTATGGGATAAGCGTGCCAAACAAGCACTCACGTGATGGTAAGTGTAAGTTTTGGCCCATAGACATGTAGGTGATCTATCCTCGATTTAGAATCAAAATGTAAATGCATTATTATATATGAGGGCTAAGAAAGAATACCTCGTTACCAGTAAAAAGGAACCCCGATTTTTCACACTCGCCACACGATACCGCACTTATTTTCAGTGAGCGTGGTTTTTACCCGGTCAAGCCGACCCATTTGTGCAATGCAACTATAATATAGCTAAATCGTGGCCCTTTCAGTTAAACAATAAATAAAATAGTTACCTTAATTTCTCCTTTTCGTCACTAATAATTGTGTTCAATGTAGGAAACAGTTCGGACTTTAAGCTACCAGCTTTAGACTTATCAATCTCTGGTATAAGATGTTTTAATTTATTATAATAATTCCGATTCTTGATCTCATTGCCAATAAGGAGGCCTTTCATGCTAGTTTTCTTTATACAGAAACTGAGCTCTGATTTCTCGTAAACGGGATTGATGAATACCTGGAAATTAATCAAATTGTTATTTTTATATCAAGTGGCAAACCAACTTACAGTTCATCTGATGGTAAGTGACTACTGCAACCATGGAAATCGACTTACAACAAAGCCAACTTAAAAAAAGAAGGCAAAGTGGCTCTATGCCCTTCAGACCGTGTAGAGAAAAGATAAACACGTTTAAATATTGGTTATAACAATTATGTCACACAACCTAACTACTACAAAGAGTCGGTCATCGAAGGCATCTAGACGGGGCAACCGTGCAGTGCAGTGTGGGGCGAGACGCGGGTGGAGCACTCCCGAACGACTAACGGCCGCTCGGGAGCTGTCCGCTACGGTTATCCTGTCACGCAAATAAATTTAAACTGGTTCACACTACACGTACGGTGAAAAACTGTGGGTCATCTTTATTTAAAGATAAGGAATTAAAGTTGTTATAAAATATTTTTATTATTTCTGAACACTAACTTGCTACGAATTCGTAGTATGTCGACAACAAAGGGGTGGAGACCTAAAGCGTCTGGTGGTCCAATGATGGAATGGAAAATAAGGAATTAAGTCGTGCATTTCTAGCGCACATTCTCCGCAATGAGTAAAAAACTGAAAGGCTGCTATTTCGCGCCTGTGCTCGAGGCTGGTAAAATTAGTTCTAACCATATGTCACCAATAAGTCTCTTAGCACGCCTTTGCATTCAGTCCAAAGCCGGTAGGTGGCATTTTTCATGCATCACCGGACTTGCGCATTATATAATGTAAGCAATTGTCCCGATATGAAGTACTGCCGAAACTTTGCAAGAATAACTAACTTTTTGCAGCTGCTTTGGCCCTAGACTCAATGAACTATTCAAAGTTTAGGGTTTAAGGAACCTCAGCTTCCAGCTATTAAAGACGGTCGTTGAGTTCCAATGACACATTTAGAAAAAAAGAGCCAATCTTGCTAGCCCCTTTTCGCTTGTGTTTTGGAGACGTTGAATCTCACGAGATTGGCAGCGCTTCATTTGGAGACTGTCTGCATTGAGAGATTCACACGTTCAACCGTAGCAGCTCTTTCGGACTGAATTTGATCCCGATTAGTCCGAGCACTCAGTTGATATATCTCCACAACTGTGCCATCACTTATGTACTCATAGATACCGTGTATGAGCAGGTCATTAATATGCATCAGTAAGTGCTGCGGAGTTACGGACCCCTGAGGAACTCGGGCATTACTTGCCATAGGCTCGGAAGAGCAGGCTTAAAGCAGCAGAACAACGAATTAAAGAAACAAACTTAAGTGTTAGTTATCTCTATATCTGTCCATTTCTACTATAATTTAGTGAAGATAGAGAGGAAGAGAGAAAGAGAGAAAGAGACAGCAAGTTTAAACATTTCTTAAATTAACGTCAATTTCATGAGTAGGATCGTTAATAAATAAATACGTTAATAGACAACAGATTAATAAATAAACATGGATATTATTATGATAACGATGTTTATGATCATGTCATCTGCACAGGGTTATAGTGCACGAGTGTGCGCGCAAGCACAGGGGCACTGTGTATTCCTTCATTCGCATAGAGTGTCAGTAGATCAGAGACCAGGAGAAGTATTACGGCTTTACGTGCTTTTCAAAGCCCAAAATACCGCCAACTTCCTCTCAACAACAAACCATCTCTCCCGCGCCGCGCGATACTTAAATGCCTACTGTTGCGGGGTTGTCACTGTCTTTTTGTTTAGCAGCTAAGTCTTATTTAGTTTTATGAGTAGTTATAATATTTACTAACATAATACGTATGGATATGTACCTATGCATCATCATTATCATATCATTCACTTATCGCGTCCGTTTAGCTTATCACACAAAAAAAATCCATCGGCTTGTTTTATTTACGATCACATGGAACTTGTTTATTTATCGCTTTGGCACCTTTAATTATGTAATACGGGGTATTATCTCATTTTAAAGAGGGTAATTCATCCGGCGGTAGATCAAAACACGGCTAGTTTTACAAAAGAGGTCTATGTCATCTTTTAAATTATTTTTTTATATGATAGGGACTTGTTCTTTAAGAAAGGCGACAACGCTCTCTTGAAGAACTACAGACCGATTTTCCTTCTGAGCCACGTCTACGTGCTGTAGTGTAGTGAGTCATTACGAATCGTCTCGCACGCAGACTCGACGACTTCCAGCCTCCCGAACAAACCGGTTTCCGAAAAGGCTTCAATACCATAGACCACATACATACTTATTTTATTAGTTGATATTATTGATTAAGCAGTTTGATAGGGCAAGTCCGGCTTTTCGGCTTCTATGAAGGTTTTGCCACTGCTACCCTAGTTTCACTAGATATTAGTGAAACTGACACAGGAGATTGGAGGTAGTATCTTCCAGATAACAACTCAAAATGACAAAATCTATGATTGCGGTCAACCCTTCGCGTAGATCAAGCGTGACAGCTTAAATGAAGTTATGATAAGCGTGTAAAAGTATTAATTTCAGCTGAGTTAAGTCTACTACTGAACATTAAACTTCCTCAAAAAATACTACAAAACTCGGTCCTGAGCTACCTGTATTTACACAACTACTTGTATGTCTAATCAGGTCGTCATTCTATATGGTAGGGTGTAGAGATTGCAAAAACCAGATTTTATGAAATCCGAATTTCTGAATTTTCCTATGATTAAAATCTAGACAGTCTGGGTTTTTCGAAGTTTTAAGGTGATTTGATAAAACTGAAATAAATCATCATAAATCATTTAAAATCTTTATTCAGATACGACGAAATAAAATCACCAAAAATGAAGAACAAAACACAGTCATGAAGGACTATCGCACAGTTTCTGAAATAGATCGTATTAGCCAACGTGGTCATGCAATCGTCAGCATCCAGGGATGCAGCTTGATTCATTTTTTTTTTAATTTCATCATATGAAGGTTTGAAGGTATTTTTTAATGTATCTTCGTCTTCCTCAGTCTCATTTAAAAATTGATTAGGGTTGGGTAAGTATTGTAAGGCACCGACATTATTGTTGTATACTGTATACCTAACTCTACCAATTCAAATATTGTTCGAATTTGCATATTAAAGTAGGAAATACCAAAAGTGACGACTCCGTGGCGTAGTGGCTTAGCAATGAGTGGCTGCGCTGGGAGTTGCGGGTTCGAATCCCGCACGGAACAAATATTTTGTATAGCCTACAAATAATTGTTGCGGGTCTGGATGTTTGTCCTTGTGCAATTTATGTTTGTAAACTGCCCCCGCGATACAGGAGAAAATCCTAGTGTAGGGGTAACGTTAAAAAAAAAAAAAAAAAAAAAAAAAAAAAAAAAAAAACTACTCATTACTTAAAATGAAAATTTGTGGATAAATGTAAAATATTATCCATTGAACTCAATTTTGACTAAAATCCGAAATTGAACTCAATTTTCAAATTTCGAAGATTTGCAAACGGATTGCAAACTCTAGTGGGGTGTTTGGCTGTCATTTGAGAATCTTTCTTCCCATCAGTTGTTGCTTCTTAAAAATATATGGCCGGGCTCTTGCTGATGGATCATTGGACTAAATTGGTTACTCTGGTTTTATGGTTTTACGTAGCTTCCTCATTCGGAGAGAGAAAGAGAGAGAAAATAGGGAGTGAACTAAAGAAAGGGTAGAGGTTAAATGTACGGTATATTGTACAGTTCCACTGATAATGATGATATGATAATGAGTTTTATAAACTTGCATGAGACTGGTAGAATAAACAATTAGGTCTTATCAAATTTTTAGATAAAACATCGTTTATGGTTTATAATAATTTTTTTTCAAATTCATTATATTATTATTAATTAATTTAAACTTTATTATATTTGATAGTTATCATTTCCGGGCCAATTTGTATTTCTAGAAATACCAACTAAAATTTGATCAATTTGTTTGACTGATGCCTAAATACTCAAACGCTGTTTAATTTTAAAATGCCGTAAAAAAAACTTAACACCATTATAAAATTCAGTAACTTTTGATTATGTGACCATGAATTGTGTAGAGTTAATACGACACAACTTAAAATTTAGTAGCAAGAAGGACTACTCTCTATCTAAGTGTCCATTTGGGCAGGTACCACTGTTATCTACTTCTTCCTTCCTGCCTTCAAATAGTAGTGCTTGTATTGTTGTGATCCGGTCTGAACAGTAAAGAGAGCCAGTATCATTTTAAGCTATGACGCATTCCATATTAGTTCTCAGAGGTGACAACGCATTTGTAGCTTTCTATGTTTAAAGACAGCTGCAAGTGTCTATGGAATTTAGTACCCACTTGCCATACGTGTACTGTAAGTTTGTTTGTCACATTAGTATTATAAAAAATAGATGTATTTGACTACAAGAAACGAAGGCATCAATTACCAGCATTCCTTTAAAGTTTCAACAAAAATATAACTTTTGAACAGTCTATGGATAGACTAGGTTTCTTATTTATTTAAAAGATTAAGGGTAACATACATACATGTATACATAGCCACTCACGCCTGTCACCCAGAGGGGTAAGCAGAGACTACAGACTTCTATTTGGCACGATCATGACACACCTCTCTCGCCTCCTCCACATCCATTTACCTACGCATACGTGCTCGTCGGTTAAGGGTACTTTTACTTTGGCCCATTTTTCAATATATCGCCAATTTGGTCGACAAACTTTCGCCTAGGGCATCCCTTACCGACTCTGCCGTTCACTTCTGCAACGTAAATTTGCTTTGTAACTCTTTCCTCATTCATTCTTTCTACATAACCAAACCACCGAAGCATTCCTTTCTTAATCCTCGTCACAACATCGTCTTGTATACCACACTCTTCTCATATCACACAATTTCTCACCCTGTCACTCAGATTCAGCCCTAACATGCTCCTTAACGACCGCATTTCTACTACGCTTATTCTACTCTCGTGCTTGTTCTGCCAAAACCATGGGTAAGAAGTGAGCAGATAGTCCACCTGACGCACCTATATCTCCAGTTAAAAATCAAAATGAAGATTCGTTGTCATACGTGAGGACTAAGATGCCAATGCCTTGTTTCCAACAAAAGGGGTCTTTGGTTTTTTTCATTCACCATTTGAAAGAGAGCAGCATTAAGGTGTTATTTCGGGCTGGTATTCTGTAAGAGCTTAGTTCCGCCTCTGTCTTACCGACTTATTCGTTTTTAAATCATAATAAGCTGCAGCGTGACTCTACCACTATAGCTGAGTGGATTTTATTTAGTTGATTAATCAAATAATTTTTATAAGAAATCTATTTGATGTATTAACTTACAGATATAACGCCTACTCTGGCTGCCGCTACCGTCGCGATAATCCAAGCGGCGCTGTTGTGAGACCACACGCCCAGTCTGTCACCTTTCTCGAAACCATTTGCTCTTAGAGCGCATCCTAAGGAATCTGCCTGCAAATTTGAGGTTACTGTTACTATAATAGCCTATCAAAATTCACTACTGAACATAGGTTTATCTCAGTAACTGCCTCATATTTGGATCGTAGCCTCGCCTGTCAGGCGGGTTGACGACCACAGTTTTTTTTTTAAATTACTAGTTGTTATTAGGAAGATGCTATTGCTCATCTCCTGGTTTACTTTTCACGTCGCCTCTTACGAAACCCAGGTATGGATATTTTTATACTGCCACACCACGGTTATCGCGTTTTATTGTAACTTATTTTTTACTCTCGACGCTTGAGCGCTGAATGCTGAAGGGATGAGATCTTCCTGATGTCGTAGTTGACCCGGGGTCTACCTTTAGCTTTAAACTTAAATTTTACTTCTTTTGCTTTGTTTTGTGGTCTGGAAGTGTTGTCGTAAAATTAGTTTGAACATTCGCGTAAATATATAAAATAATAACGTACTTGTGTTAATAATTCTTCGTATGTAAGAGTGACATCTTCATGTAAAGATCGCACAGCAACTCTGTCAGGGTACTTTTGGGCACTCTCGGCAAGTACATCACCGAGAGTTGCGATTGTAAGTGGCTCAGATCCTGGATTCCGAAGGTAGCTCGCGTTTGAATCCGACTGAATATGGCGTGATAGTCTGAAATATGAATTATAACTATTCATCATCGTCGCCAGTGCGTGAACAGTCCATTGTTATACGTCGACCTCCGTCCAATTACATAGGCAACCTATGAACCCTAATAATAGGGGCTAGTCTTAGCTATTATTTCCAGTTTGGAAGGTGGATTAACTTAATAAAGCTTTAACATCTTTAATAAGATTTATAACGGACGTACTCATTAGGAGCCTATACAACCTCAGCACAAATTCTAATTTCACCCCCACTTCCCCGCGCGTCGTATGCTATATACCTACATGTTTGTAATCACTAATACTGTAAGTTATCTACTTTCAGTATTAGTGTATTGGTCAGTTCGGTCGGTACATACTAACTTCGTTACGTTTATAACATATGTTTGCCGGTGTCTTTACGCCAACCCAGTCGCTTCTTATTTTTATTACGGTTATTTTCCATTTTAATTTTACGTCGTCCTGTTGCGTAATGTGTGTTCTGAACGCAAGCGATACAGCTCTTCCGTTCGAAAGCCGAAGCGAGACGAGAGAGACCCTTTTACTGGAAACCATGCATTCCATCTTAGTTCTCAAATGCGATAACGCATCTGCATTTTGATTCTTAATTGAGGATAGTTGACGGACGAACACAAAGACAAACAGATAAAAAATTTTTAAAACTATTTATTTGGTATATCGATATAACATTTTGTGCATATTTAATTCATAACAGTACTTACATTTATACTGGATGATTTTTTACCGTCTGGAAAAAATATAGTGTATTTGGTGAACGGAATGGAAGCCTATGTATAATATATTTTACTATTTTTTTTGCTTTCACATTAGCATGTTATGAAATTAAACTATCAATAAATACCACTAATTTGAAATAAACTTTCAAAAAATAAAAAGAAAAATTTTGTACTAAATAAATAAATCAATTAAAAACTATCGAAATTAAAATAATACGCACCCAATTAGTAGTATTTATTGATAGATCAATTTACGTAAATTTAAAAAAATATTGTAAAATATCAGTGCCATAGGCTTCTATTCCGTTCACCAGTTACACACAAATTTTTTCTGGACTATATTTAGTCGTCCCTAATCCGAGATTTATTTAAGACTCACAAGGTTTCAGACACAAGTTTGTTCCCTTACTGGATGAATTATTCCCGAGAAACATTAGCCCAGCCGGTATTAAAAACATCAGCAGTACTGTCGTCCGCAAAGCAAGGAATTTTACTGGTTTGCAACATGCAGTTGGCACCCGCAGCCTTATGGAATACTAGCATTAATACGCTTGTAGTTGAAGTTTGCACCGTCTACTAATTGCCTTGACGCTCGGATCTGCAAGAAAACTGATGATCCAATTGCACAATATCTCAGGAAGCTTTCAAAGAAGCGCTTTGTGCCAAAGCCAATATCCAAAGTAATGACCAAGGTCTTCCTCTTGGAGTCTGCTGCTTTCGCTCAAGTATGCGTTAGGTAAATTAGAAGATCACCATGTGAGCGATCTCAACGAAAATCACATTAGCGGTCACTAATCAGCTAATGCTCCTCAAGGTAACCTATGAGCTGGTAGTTTATAATGGGTTCCCTTATTTTGAGGAACAAGGAGTTGATAGCGATAAGCCTGCAAGTACACGGGACTGAACGGTCGCCTTTTTATGGACCGGGTACACTAAAGCTGTCTTCCACGAGTTTTTTGAATCACGCCTAGGGAGTAGAAGTATCGAAAAGATGGGTTAGAATTGGTTTTGATTCCAGAGCACCCGTCTTCAGTATAATAGGAGTGACTCCATTAGGCCCGTTCGACTTGTTGACGTCCAGGAAGAGAAGTGCTTTGCACACAGAGCGCTGTGTAAACCGTAAACCCAGCATGGAGCAATCACACCGCGGGATGGTTGGCGTTGTGCTGCCATTGTTATCGAGTGTTGGGTTGGACCCAAAAAGAGAACCTAAAAGAACGACTTTCTTCTTTGTGTCGTGGGCCAGTGAGTCGTCCTCACTGTGCAGAGATGAAAGAGATAATCAGCAAAAGTTCCCTTGGGCAGCCTTGGCAAAACACCTTAACTAAATTTGAGGTAGAGCAGTGAGCTTGAGCAATTTAAAATCTATGAATCACAGCCAGTCGGTCAACTAAACAAGAAAGGTACCTAATAACTCAAAGTCTTATTCTTACAATCTATTTATTTGTTTTGTAACAAAAATAAAGAAAGAGATAGAATTAAAATACCGATTTCACTTACTGTACTACTTATTGAGAGTCTTATACCAAAAGTTTATTCTGTATGTAATTTTATTCTGTAAAAATTAAAATAAAATAAAATAAAATAAAAATTGTAATAAAGTAGTGCTTGCAAAGGAAGCTCAGAGCCCCTTCGAATCTTGCGCCCTAGGCTCTAGGTATATCAGGCTCAGCATAGACATCTACATCTATTTTCAATTAAGAATCAAAATGCAGATGCTTTGTCACCCCGTGACGACTAAGATGGAATACCTCGTTTGCAGTAAAAAGGATCTGTGTAAAACTACAACAAACCATTCGTGCTGCGTTTGACAATGCTACACTACATAATTGCTACTATTATAAAATAATATCCTCCAGACCGAATTTCGGTCACGGGGGCCTGCCTCAACGGAGACTAGCCACCTGCGCAAGACGGGATTATAGTGCTCAAGTGTACGCGCAAGCACAGGTGCATTCTGTATTCCCTCTCTCTCATAGTTCTATAAGACGGTAAACCGACACGACCGGAGAGAGATCAGGCGCAAGACCAACGGCTTTACGTGCTTTCCGAGGCACGGGAGTGAGGACGCCGCTGACTGATTTTTTGCCCCGACCCGAGATTCGAACCCCATGATCAGCAATCGCACTACTGCAACCACTAAACCAACGAGGCAGTCACTACTATATATTTTAGCTATATATTAAGCAGTAAACAAGTGCCACTATACGTTAGTAGGATTATTATAAATGACTTATAATTAAGCGTGTAATGACTTGATAAAAAATAATAAATCTTTTCGCTACGACACAAACCGGTACTGAAGTGAATGCACTCTTGTACTTGAAAGGTAGGTGCAAAAAATATGTAAGCCTCTTATTATGACTCAATGGTCTAAGCTCATAACAGATGAGGCATTGAATATTAAACGGTATTTGTTTAGAGATATGCGCGATGAACTTCGAATGTCATCTATTTATTATTACCTACCTTTTTATAATATTTATATCTTAAATGAAAGTAACTTTTTTAACTTTTTAATTCCAACCGGAATTTGTACAAAGTAGCTTTTTTTATAGAAGAGGGGGCAAACGAGCATGCGTCTCACCTGATGTTAAGTGACTACCGCCGCCCATGATCAACCGCAACACCAGGGGAATTGCAGGTGCGTTGCCGGTCCCTTTAGAAAGGAGTAAGCTCTTTTCTTGAAGGTCCCCAAGTCGTATCGGTTCGGAAAAATCGCCGGTGGTAAACTATTCCACAGAGAGGTTGTACGCGGAAGAAAAGTTGTGTGGATGGCATCGGGACGTTTGCCGCGTAGTGCGTTCACGAAATTTGGCGGCTGGGATTAATCCGAACAATTCCTCAGAGCACTCTCCATGGTATATGCGAAATAAAATGCAAAGAGATGCAACATTTCAAGCTCAGAGTACATGACGCAAAATAACAAATCCCGGCTACAAATTCAATGTAAACTTCAAAACTCAGTGGTTAGATCTAATAAATTTGAAGAAAACTTGTTGTCGTAGCGAAGAAATGATTAGAACATTTACCAATTTTGAGCCGGTTTATCGACCAAAAACCCAATGCAGTTATTTACAGAATTATTAATAACTATTAAAATCTATCGATTTCGTGTTATTTAGGTTTGAGGTAACCATCAAAGACCATTTATTTTATCAATTTTTGGAATCCCCAAAAAAAAGGTCTCAAGTTTTTCCGTATAATATACATTCTAGATCACTCCTGTTATTACAATTTCTGAAGTTTCTGTGACAGACAGGCAGATAAAATAAATAAAAAATCATATGTAAACGGCATACAAATAGGGGAGGGGTTATTTGCATGCAATTTATCTTAATAAAGAAAATTATTTTGGCATTACTCACATACACTTCAATTTTATTGATATGTATAGGTAAAGACGAAAATTAATGACATGTTTCAATTCAACATTAAGCTGGAACCGCTATCTTGTGATTGATAGCGAAATTGACATGGCAATAAATTATTTAAAAACGAAGAAATCGACGTTGAAAAAATTTTTCCTTATCTTAATATATATAAATTACGTGTCACGTTGTTTGTCCGCGATGGACTCCTAAACTACTTAACCGATTTTAATAAAATTTGCACACCGTGTGCAGTTTGGTCCAACTTGAGAGATAGGATAGTTTTTTTTACCCATGAGCTACCCACAATTTTTTTTTTGCGAATTTGAGGATTTTAACAAAGGGTCGTCGAAAAGGGCAGAACAACGTCTGCCTGGCAAGCTAGTGTATTTATAGATTTTCTTTTTAACATAAACATGAAAATGTAGATTATTGTTTTCATATTTTTTTAATTTGTTGTTTAGTATTTCGTACAACCAGTTTTGCAGAAGGAAAATATTAGGTCTTTTCGGCTTTATCTATGAAATTGACATTCTGCGTGGGGAAAATTGAAACAAAGTTTTAAAAAGATTGGCCCTTGTATAGAAGTTTGCTTCTTTAAAGAAATAGTTTATATTGCTTCAACTAAAATATTTGGCTATCAAAACGTTATCTAAACTTCGAAGAAAGTAGAAATCTGATGGAGCGAGGTTTGAAGAATATGGTCTCTCACTCCACATTCTTTTCCTCATCCTCGTTTGCTTTAGGTCTGCTAATTTTGCCTACGTCTATTGTGCAGTACGTAGTCGGGAGTTTTCATGCACTGTTTAAGTGCCAGCTTATCCACTATCATATGAAATTATTGCCTAGTAACAGTCAGCTTTGTCTATGACACCAGATAATAAGGAGTTATAGTTAATAACACCAACAGCAGACTACCGAAACTGGTAACATGAACTTTTTTGTCTAATTTTTCGTTTCGGGCACTGTTTGGGTTGTTCATCACAGTAGTTAAACCTAGGTTGGATTCACTTCTCATCGCATATAAAAACAATATAACTCAAAATTCCCTCCTTTCTTTGCTGTTATAGCAATATTGTATTATTTATACGTGATAGAACCACGCTGCAGCTATAACATGGTTGTAGCATGAATGGGTTGACTCAACCGGGAAAGGACCACGCTCTAACAGAATATCAGCGTAAAATAGCAGCTTAATACTGCTGTGTTTCGTATGGTGATTGTAGAGATTCGGAGACCCTTTTTACTGGAAACTAGGCATTCTATCTTAATTCTTAGGGGTGACAACGCAACTGCGTTTTGATTCTTAATCGAGGATAAAAGAAGATGTTTATGGGCCACAGCATCCACTTACCTTCAGGTGGACTGTGTGCTCGTTTGTAACACTTATTTTATAAAAAAAAATCAAGCTTGAACACGGGATTCACGCTGTGCGTGCTTTGTTTTAACGATTTGCTGCAAAAAATCTAGCATTGTTTTGACACGTCAAAAGCTGAGTGAGCGCTAGTTAAGTCATAGTTTGAGACGGAACCACTATATCTACCGCTTTAAGTTCATCAATAGTAACCCTTTTCTCTGGCTTTGAAGCTTATTTGTGAGGTCCTACCTTCCCGAACGAGAGTGATTGAAAGCCTTTCTGTTTTCACGTGAGTGGGGCCGCAGACAGAAATCGGAAGCTAGAGTTATATATATGAATCTAGTTATAATTTTTTATAGTATCGATATTCGTTATTTATAATCGTTACTAACTATATAACAGTGCGTTTATTGTCGTGTTGCTGCTTGAAGGATAAGGCAGCCGGGATGATTACTTACTGTGAGACATTTATTGATGACCACGCACTTGAAGTTCATCGGACGTGTCCTTATGCTACAATAGCGACTTACATATGATACAGGCCAATCCCATAAACATTGTAAATATAGCAAGTAATTTATTAAAAATCCAAAAAGTCTAATGAGTCCCCGTACTTCTCGTATTCATTAAGTCTGTTCTATGGGCAATTCGTTTCAAAGTTAATTGTCTTATTGCATTAGAGTTTTAATCATTAGGCACTATAAACATATTTTATGATTAAGAGCCGTTTAACACATATGTACTAAAATGTTAATTATTCGCTTAATTATATATTGGGTTAAAATTGTATGTTTTAGGTAGCTACCACGTATATAAATAATTAATATTTCACATTCTATATTGGGATAATAAATTTGTTATCAATGAAGTTTTTAACACTTAGTCCATTCCTACAACATCGACTTTTTGCTTTATGAGTAAATATCGGACTCTAACTCACTTATTCTACTCTATATTCGTTAATAACATTTTTAAGTTCGGTATATATTGTATTAAAAACTTATAGTTTGTTAATTTCAGAAATATTGAGCTTTAAAAGGGCAATCAACCCAGACACATGCTCATCAAATTTATAAATTCATAAATGACAACAAGGTCAAGAGCCAAGAAAATTTGATTTAAATTTTACATACCAAATAAAGAAATAATAAAAAATAAGGTTGAATACTCTGATTTAAGTTAAATATTAGAAACAAATAATAGTGGAAATCCTAAGGTGTATAACTTACATGTAGCCAAGGGAGTTCGAAATCTTCCTCGTTATCAGAGCTGCACTTTTTACTATCATTTTAACACTCAATTAATTCATCAATCAACACACGACTGAACAAAATCAGCGGCGACAGCTGACTGCGTCGTGTTTTGGCCGAGCAGTTGTTTCGTATCGTGTGGACGGAACATGAATTGATAAGATAATGGAAAAATGATTATTATTCAGTAATCAATTTTAGCTAATGTGCTCGTTTTTTTATTGTAGTTTATAATATACTAGCGATACGCCACAGCTTTACCTGGATAGGACCTTTTCTCAAGTCTACTACTGAATGCTGTCTACTGTCGTGGTGGCTCAGTGGTTAACGCTCGCTGTAAATATAACAGAACGCGAGTAACCCGGGTTCGATCCCCGCCGGCACCAACGAAATTGTTAATTGCAATTTTAAGTGCTGATTTACCACGTGCTCGGCGGTGAAGGAAAACATCATGAGGAAACCTGCATGTCTGAGGAATAAGAAAAAAAATATTTCGAAGACATATGAAGTTCGTCAACACGCATTTGGGCAGCGCGGCGACACTTCCTTGCCCTAAACCCTTTCAGAAATGAGGGGAGGCCTTAGCCCAGCAGTGGGACGTATATAGGCTGTAACTTTACTTTACTTTTTACTGCTGAATATAGAGCTACACCAAGGAATGCCACAAAGCATGGTCTAATGAGTCACCTGTATCCATCGCCTTGCTGTGTGTCTCACTAGTTTGTCGTTCCATCTACTAGGGGGCTATGAGGAAGCTGGAGGTCACTCAGCGTGCAATGGAAAACGCTATGGTCGGGGTTCCTCTGTGTGATAAACTTAAAATGAGGATATCCACATTAAAACCAGAGTAACTGACATAGCTTAACGGATTAGTAAGTTGAAGTGACAATGGGCCAGGCATATAGCTCGAAGAACTGATAGCCGATGGAGAAAAAAGGTTCTCAATTGGCAGTTTCGTACCGGTAGGTGAAGTGTAGGGTGGCCACACTTGGATCTTTTAATGGGACATTATTTAGACTAAAATGAAGGTATGAGGAAAGACTGACAAAGCAAATATATGTTGCAGAAGTGAATGGAAGAGTAGGAAAGGGACGACCTAGGCGAAAGTTTGTCGATCAAATTGACGATATATTAAAAATGGGCCAAATTAAGAGTACCCTTAACCCTCGAGCATGTATGCCACCTCTATATAGCCTCGCCTATAGGAGGCGAGAGAGATATGTCAGGATCGTGCTAAATGGAAGTCTGTAGTCTCTGCCTACTCCTCTGGGTGACAGACGTGAGTGTTTATGTTATGTTTTATGTTATTTAGACTAAAGATAATCCAAGATCTTTTATTTTATCAATTTTACATTTTGTCAAAAACAAAATTTTCAAGTTTTTGTCTAAAATATGTCTTATATCGCTCCTGACATCTGTCTGTTCGTGAAGTTCCATTACAATCGATCAATATATAGCCATTCCGAAGATACAGAACGGACTGAACAGGCAGACAGAGACAAAAATATTAAAAATGATTATTTATTTCTTAATAGGATGCAAATAACCCCTCGAGCTCAATAGAATTTACTTATTTCAATAATACAGATAGATATTTCAATTTTATTTGTATAAATATATAACTTTGAAGCCAAGGCGCTTAGCTCTGAACCCCAAATTTCACAGTGCGCTAGTAACCTTTATCTGTTAAAATGATATAATCATAATTGATACGGGCTAAAATAAATCAAACATCGTACGTTTATACACTCGTAGTACGAGTGCAAGTATCGTACTTACGTATTTTTAATGATCGAAAATCGTATATCTCAATAAGAACTTGTTCTAAAATAGTAAAACGCATTTAGTAGTTATTGATTAGTGCAAGCACTATACAAATTTTAAAAAGACAAACATATGATTCATTATGCAATCGATCTGTGTAAACTAGCACCATTTAAATTGAAAGGTAGTCAACATTTGTTTCGAATCCTTTAAGCGTTATATTAAAGACTTGGTCTAGTGGTTGTAAACGCGGTAGTTGATTTGAGGTCCCAGATTCAAATCCTGGGTAAATCCCTGGTAAAATCAGCTATTGGGTTTTTCTATCAAGAAATTCTTGCTCGGAGTCAGGAAGTTGACGGCGTTTCATCCCAGTGCCTCAGAAAGTACGTAAAGCCGTTGGTCCTGTTCCTGATCTCTCTCCGACCGCTTCGGATAACCGTCTCAGCGAACTATGAGAGTGAGGGAATAGAGAGTGCGCCAGTGCTTGCGCAAACTCGGACTACATAAGATTGTTTCATCTTACAACTTGTAAATAAACTTGTTCTCATAGCCTTCTAATTGGAACACTGCACTAAAAGCCGGAAAAGTAGGTAATTGTAACAAACTACGGGCAGCTAGAAAACAGATCCACATCTACATATCATACATAATACATATACATAAACACTCACGCCTGTCACCTAAAGGGGTAGGCAGAGACTACATACTTCCATTTAGCACGATCCTGACATACTTCTCTCGCCTCTTCCACATCCATATACCTACGCATACATGCTCGTCGGTTAAGGGTACACTTAATACTACATACCATAATAAATGGAAATATGTTACTACGGCAGCTCAGAAGCTAAGCGACCCCGCATAATTTTATAGCACGCCAGTAACCCGAATTCGATTCCCTAGTCGTTTTTTTTTTGAATATTTATAAATTTTTGTTAAATAACATTGTAATATATACAGTATTAAAAAGCTAGTACCCGGATGACCGAGCTGTGCTCGGTTTTTATTTTGAAATTACAATTAGATACAAATTACATACTGATGAATGATATTTTTTGATCTTATTGACATAATAGAAAAAACTGAACTGGTTATTTGAATAAAAAATCATGAGTGCAATTAGTTTAATTAAAATTTTCGTATTTTTAAAAAATACTAAAAAAAGAGCTCGAAATAATAGATTTTCTCACAAAAGAAGGTAAGTTTAAAAAAAAAGGAAAAAAATCGGACCAAAGACGGGACGCGAACCAAGGCATTAAGATTTCGCCGCCACTCGATATCCACTTGAGCGATTACGATCATTAATACAGTGTCAAAATTTACCTTCTTATATTGTAGCAGTTTTTCATTGCCTGAATACACGGACAAAAAAACATTTTCTAAAAATAAATCCTAGCTAGATCGATTTATTGCCTCCAAAACTCTCTGGACACTAAATTTTATGAAAATCGTTGGAGCCGTTTCCGAGATTCCGATTATATATATATATATATATATATATATATATATATATATATATATATATATATATATATATATATATTTGTTTTGGAAATTATATTTAGATACAAATTACATACTGATGAAATACAAATAATATTTTTGATCGTAGCGACATAATAGAAAAAACTGAACTGGTTATTTGAATAAAAAATCATGAGTGCAATTAGTTTAATTTAAATTTTCGTGTTTTTAAAAAATACTACACAAGGACACGAAAAAATTGATTTTCACAAAAAAGAAAGGAACTTGAAAAAAAAATTAAAAAAAAGTCGATCGGTCGGTCGGGGCTCCATGGTAATACGATTTTATGTCTGGAAAGTCTGGAAGTCTGGGAAGTCTGGGAACCATGGTATTACGATTTTATGACCGCCCAATGTACCAATTAAGCTATAATCACGCCGGGCACTAGATATCACCTCGTGGCCGTTAATTACGTGATTGCGCGGGAGAATATATTATGTATATATCAGAGGAATTAAATTTACTTACCGAGAAGCTCGTACTCACAGTCACTAATCGGCGTTATTTATAAATATTGTGATGTGTAATGTTGTATGTGTTACTGTATGTCTATGATAGTGTATAGCCGAAAAACAGTAGCGATTATAGTATTTAAAACTAATTAAATTGATAATGCGGACAAGCACAGCAGAAGATGCAACAGCGGGCGCGGATTAGCGAAGACTGTCTTGCACTATTGACCCTTTTCCTTTTTTGAAGTTGAATTGGAGTGACAATTTTACACACACCACCGCCGTCTATGATAAATATGAATAGATTAATTCGAACGCATGTTCGGCGCGACTATACTCCCGGCCTTGAAAGGTCCCCTTTCAAAATATTTTAAGAGTAACTTATTATTAATTACATAAGTGACAAATATATCTGAAATAGAGAGATATAATGCGAACTACGGACAGTGTGTGATGACCAATTAAAATTTGCAAACAAGATATAAATAGTATTACGAAATTGCGAGATTGACAAACAATACTTAAACTTATATATTACCTAATAACTATCTTTTTTTAATATTTTTTTTATAGAATAGGCTGACAAACGAGCACACAGTCCACCTGATGGTAAGTGGTTGCTGCGGCCCATAGACATCTACATCTATCTTCCATTACAAATCAAAATGCAGATGCGTTGTCACCCGTGAGGACTGAGATGGAATGCCTCATTTTCAGTAAAAAGGGTCTCCGGTTCTCTACACTCACCATACGAAATACAGCAGCATTAAGCTACTATTTCACGCTGGTATTCTGTGAGAGCGTGTTCCTTCCCCGGTCGAGCCGACCCATTCGTGCTACAACTATACTACTAATATAACTGCAGCTTGGCTCTACCACGTAGAGTAATCACTATTTTGTGGGCAGTGGACACAAGCGTACCACAGGTCTCTTATAGATACCGCGGCTAGTTTTGATAGTAGCTACTCTTGCAATCCCATCTGGACCTGAATGAACGTCAGTTATAACTCCCATCTCCCACTGTAATGGCGGAACCTTGGTATCCTGTATTACTAGCACTACTATAACTGGTTTAATATTTGCAGGTGGAACGTTCTATTTCACGCGCGCCTGTAGTGTGCTTAGATATTCGAGTGACCATCGGTCCCAGAATGACTGCACTAGGTTGTCTAAGAGCTGATAACGCTCTAACAAATGTTTCGCTCGGTCTGAGTCTCGCACCGGAGCGGCGGGTAAATACTTAAGCGATGTTAAGGTCAAAAAATGAGAGGGAATTATAGCTAGCGGCTCACTTGGAT